GCGGATGAGAGGCGGGATGATAGGCAGATGAGAGGTGGGATGAGAGGTGGGATGAGAGGTGGGATGAGAGGCGGGATGAGAGGTGGGATGAGAGGCGGGATGAGAGGTGGGATGAGAGGCGGGATGAGAGGTGGATGACAGGTGGGATGAGAGGCGGATGACAGGTGGGATGACAGGTGGGATGAGAGGTGGGATGAGAGGTGGGATCGAGGCAGAGAGAGAGAGAGAGGTGGGAACTCCACCTCTGTAGATTTTTTTCAGAGGTTCAGAATTATAAAAGCTGGGGCACCACCTAGTGGGCCTAGGGATGGAGGTAAAAAATATTAAGAGGAATTTTTTAAAATGACAAATATGGAATGAAAATTTGTTTTGACTGCATTTTAACGTGGCCGTTCTTTCCCCAAAGGAACACGAGAGTGGAGTAAAGTTACTGCAAAGTTATAAGAGCGTTAGACAAAATTCTGACCAAACAAAAAACCCAGAATGTTTTCTTGACTTTGTCAGAAAATTGTGTATCGACAGCAACAAAATAAAAAATAAAAAACTTGGACAAAATTAAGCGTGTCCCATAAAGACCATGCGAGGGTGAACATCCGGTGGGTGGATGAACGACAGTCACAAAGTTTCACTGGTTCAATAAAAGCCTTCACTCCTCGGTGCTTTTCTTAGAACCTTAAAAAGAAAAACTTTCAAAACAGTCGGATATTAGCCTGATAATAGTTTTAACGTCACCCCGATAACTGTAGAAATTTATCATTTGTACAGTTTATCTTGTTAACCCTTCAGATTTATGACGATAAGTGTCCTCCGCACGGGAAAAAAGCGTTTCTTACGTTTCACTAAATTAACTTTTTCTCCGGTTTCTTCTCCACCTGAACTCCAACCTCGAGTCAAAACTACAGGTCAGCCTTTAAAGACCTGCCGACCCAGGAAACAGCAGCAGCTTCCATGTTTTCTGACCCTCTGTGGGTTTCAGAGCCGACGGGCTGCATTATTAACCCCCCGCCCCCACCCGCCCACAGGGCCTCAGGGGCGTTTGAAATGAGCGCCCCCTCCTTTTGTAGTTACCTTGTTTGATCTGGGCCTGCAGCGCCGGGTTGGAGGGCTGATGGGGGGCGGCAGGCGTCCTCCGAGGAGAATCCGGGGTTCCTCCTGGTCTGGGGGGCCTGAAGGAGGATCACAAAGAGGAGACATCAAATATTAAAGGAGCAGTGAGGAGGAGAGAGGAGAGCCAGACACAAAAACTGAACTCACGATAAAAAACAAACTTGTTTTTATTTTTCTGACCTGAAACTGAAGGTTTGTGTGCACGCGTGCATGTGTGTGTGCGTGCATGTGTGTGTGCGTGCATGTGTGTGTGCATGCATGTGTGTGTGCATGCATGTGCACGTCTCAGGCTCCAGCCTATCGGGTTCTGGCTGAAGTCCTCTCTGAACAGACCAGAGGCGCCAAACTCTCAGAGATACACAAACACTTCCAATACAACGATCCATGCACTGATCAATAACGGTTGCCAGGCAACAAATCACTTCCTGTGAGATTTGATGTTGGAAAATAAAAGCCCGTGTTCAACAGCGAGAACAGAAATGAAAGTTTCTAAACTTTGAGATGTGATAAAGTTACAATTAGAGCAGAAAGTGAAGGTTCAGGAGAGAAACGTGTCGAGTAGGGATGAAGAGCTGCAGGTAAGATACTGACTGTTCATTAATACTACAAAGAAACCCAAGAAAAGAAATAATAATAATAAAAATAAAAACTTCTCCAAACGCCCATCCTGACTTCATTAAAGTCTTTATAAAAATGACTGGATTAAAAAAAATCACTAGAAAAGAGAAAAAATAAAAAAGAAGGAATGAAGGAAAAAAGTGACGGTGAGAAGAATGAAGGAATGAGAAACAGGGGATGGATGAAAAGATGGATATATGGATAGAGAGATGGATACTTGGATGGATGGATGTTGCATGGATTGGCAGATGATGGATGAACAAATGGATGGCTGGATGAACAGATGGATGGATGAGAAAGGACAAATGGATGGCTGGATGAACAGATGGATGGATGAGCAGATGGATGGATAATTAAATGGATGGATGGTTGCATGGACTGGCAGATGGATGGATGGATGGGCAGATTGATGGATAAACAAATGGGTGGATGGATGGATGAACAGATGGATGATGAGGATGGACAAATGGATCAATGGATG